TGTAATTATATCACCAGTTGTATGTTTTCACTATTGTTGTGTAAGAATTAAAAAATCGTTACGATAAATAATACACAATTTTTTTTCTCAAGTCACTTTGAGGGTAAGAAAATAAAAATTTCAAGCTCTTAATTGTTAAAACCTATCCAGGAGAACTGGGAGTATGACTGATGTTGACAAAAAATGACATAATATCAGGGTGGTTTAAAATGGAAAAAATCTATTTTTATGATATACGATAGTAGAACTATTTTGGAAACAATTAAGTTTGGAACTTTTCTATCCAGATAATACGAAAATGCTCTTTTTTCCGTCTCTCAATGTCGATAAACACCATGCCAGATTTCCTCGTCAACAATAAAATTACAAAAATCCAACACAGCGGTACAGCACGAGCGAGCGCCCCGAAATACGAGCGCCGCGATGGCGGCGATGGCAGCCACGAGGAAGGTACAACACCACCATCAGCACCACCACCACCACCAGCCGCAACAGCAGCACCAACAACAACAGCCATCGCCGAGCACCGCCCTCTACCCACCGGTCAGCCACGTGTACCACGGGGCAGCTACTGCGCCGTACCACCCCCTGCTCTACCCGGCCTTTTTCTCCTTCAAACCAGCCCTGCCGGCCTTTCCACCCATACCCGAGAGTGAGTATCCAACTTACCTTCCAAACTACACTTTCGAACGCAAGTGTGCGTATAGGGAAACTTGATGATTGATGGCAAGAAGTTCACTCTACGCCGCGTCTATTGATTTCGAATCACGAGCCCTGCATGTTTTACGATTAACTTTTCACAGGCACCGGGGACTTGCTCCGTTTGACGACAGCTGCGCACCTTATGTCCAGACCGGCACTTGCCGAGCGGCCCCTGTCGACTTCAGCTGGCAAGGAGGACGAGGTGACCAGCTCCGAGGAGGCCGCCGCCGCGGCTAACGATAGGATACAATTTAAAAAAGGTTTGCTAACTTCTCCCGTCTCTTGTGCTATTTTACTCCCTTGCTGAGGGTCTTTTCTGACTTTTGCTGGAACATTTTCGGGTGCTGGTTTGGGGAAAAAAATATCCCTTTCGTGAATCACCTATTATATATTGTAATGAATGAAGCAAATGTGATTTTTTTTCATGACGACAATTTGCATCCTCCACAACTTGAAATTTTTTAAAATTAACATGATTTTACAATTTCGTCAGAGCCTATGCAGTAAAAACTCTTAAATAGAAGTCCATGAGAATATGGAAAAATTGGCTCAGTAAATTAAAAAAAATAATGTCATGATCAGCATTGGTGATGAAACTTCTCGATGAATGTACCCTTGATTGATCCCTCGGATGCTTCAATCCTTGTTCATAGAAGTAACGTGTGTGGATTTGTTGGTGATATTAAGATAAATGTGTTCGACAGAAAGAAAGAATTTTAATCAAATTAGTAATTACAGAAGATCGTGAGTCTGGTCGCTTGGTGACACCCTTAATTTGTGCTTCCGTTGCTGAGCACCAGGCTGCAAATTTTTCACTCTTGCCGGCGGAAAACGTCTACGAATTTGCTGCCAAATTACTGTTTTTGGCCGTAAAGTGGCCCCGCAGTATTTCGTCCTTCTTGCAGGTAAAAAATAGTACTTTTTCCTTATCCTTACCCCTTTTTATCACGAGCTAATACAGTAAAATGCCCCGTATTGTGATATGAGAGAACAAATTTAATCCACACGTTGAAAATACCTATAATAGTAGGGTTATCCAATTTTTATATTTATTATATATTTTTAGATGTACATTATACAAAAAAAAAAAAAAAAAAAAATTAAGTAAGCAACTTGCGATCACATTTTAAATTTCTTTGTCTTGATAATTAAACACTATTTTTGCTTTGTCATTTATTTAAATTTTGTTCTACAGTGAGATACCTACTAACAATATTTGTCTCCCCATAGAGATTATGCCATTAATTTTCACTCTAAAAATTAAGCTTAGAAATCCATTGAACTGTGCTTTGTAGTATTTCACTTATACAAATTTATAAGAATCTCATTATGGCCATGACACGAATAGAAAGTTTTTCTTGAATCCGAAAGAGTTTTGGAGAAATATTTTTTTCAAACGATTACTAGTTTTCGTGGTTATTATATACTTTCCAACGAATTTCGATTTCCTTTGCTTGCTGGTCTTCTAAAAACAATGATTTTTGCTACGTACCAGTACATATGGGGCATTTTATCTTACTAAAATGACTACTTAAAAAATTGTGTCGTTAGTATCCGCCTTACGTTACAAACATCCGTTAACATAACGAGTTAATTTTGTCGAAACGATTTCCAAGAAGTTAGCAAAAAAAAAAAACACTCCTCTATCTCATAAAGTATAAAATACATCGTCAAATATCGTTAAAACCCTCGATAAAATGTTTTTAAATATATTTAACTACTCCATAAAAGTATGCAAAGAAATTTAATTTTTTTTATTACAGTATTTTTTACGCAAGCATCAAAGATCGTACTTACAGTCAAACGTAGACAGACCTACGCTCAAAAACTACCAAAAAGAGAAAAAAAGCACACACATGCGCACCCACACACAAATTTCATACTGCAAAGAAAAACCTTGTTTAAAAAAAAAAAAAAAATCCACAGCTCCCCTACAGAGACCAAGCGATCCTGCTCGAGGAGTCCTGGTGCGAGCTCTTCGTCCTAACGGCTGCCCAATGGAACTTCCCGGTCGAGGAGTCACAGCTGGTCCCGGCCAGTCTACCTGCCGAGCGAAAGCAAGCCCTCAGCGACGAGGCAAGGCGACTACGCGAGCTCCTCGCTAGGTGCGCCATCCTAAGGATCGACCACTCCGAGTACGCCTGTCTGAAGGCCATCGTGCTCTTCAAAGGCGGTGAGTGTCACATGCAGCAGCCGGTATAGCAGTACAATTGTTGGGGCTGTGGACAGTACGGTGCTGGACAGCACGGCTGTGGACAGCACAGCGGCCCGAGCTTGTACCAATTGTCATTCTAAAAAAAATTTATTAAATAAATAAAATAAAGGATAAACAGTGAGTGTTTTGGACAATGGCTTTGCGCGATGAAGCTCAAATAAACCGGTTACCCTCTGCACAAAGTAGGACCGCCCGAGAAGAGGCTGGCGGGCGTCCTGGCGCGCGAGGCGCTTGTCGGACGTGGGTATTCTATCCGCGACGGAGCCGTGCGTGATCAGGGGGGACAGCTTTTTCGGGCAGGAGCGCTGGTGGCTTCGTTTGGGCGCGGATGCCGGGCAGCAGGGATTTTTCTTCGCGGGTGGCTGTGCGGGGCACTTTGTTGGCTCGCGGCTGAAACAATGGTTTTGAGGGTTGGGTTGGGGGGGGGGTGAGTTTGGAGGTTACGCAGAGACAGGGGGTCTTACAGAGCGTCCATTCGCTCCAGGAGGCATTGTATACGGCTGAGCTCGTGGCCTGGGCTGGCGACTTCGTTTGAGAATCCCCAGTTTCCGATGGCCTCCGCGACGCCGACGCCGTTGCCTTTCGAGTACTCGAAGGTGCACGGTTTGCAGGGCATTTTTTGAAAATTAATTTTTTTTTTTCGTTCCTATCTTACACTTTGTTGTTTTACTGTTTTTAGGTGGTTTTTGATGACAATTACACTTTGAATTTTTACTAAATTTTAGTTGTTGAAAATTTTTTTTTTGCGTGTACGTTGATGGTGACTTTGAATTTTGGTTTGTTTTTTTTCTTCCTTTTTTTTCTTTTTTTGTACCCAACAAACAAACAAACGATACATAGCTGGTTTCAGAGGGTTACAATTTTTACATACAGTCACGTGCATATTTTTTTTCAACTTCAACTTGCTCTCTAATATTATTTAACCTATAAGTGATTGAGGTCTGACCAATGATTGACCTACTCTACTTGAGCTACAATTTTTACGTTAGGGATCCCGTAAAGTCGCAAAAAAAATTTTTTTCAGAGGCCTACGTAATTTTAGGCGATGATTGTTGTCTTTTACATGCTCCAAAGAATATAGGCAAATTTGTGGGGAAAATTCTTTGATGTGTTTAGTGCTCAAAAGTCATCTTAAGAATCCCCACTTGAAAATTCGCCAAGTACAAGTATAAGATCACATTTACCGAGACATGGCGAATTTTTCTCTCAAAAATTCGGATTTCTGGGAAAAATTACAAATAAACAGTTTTTTTGTCGGATCGAAGTTAATAATTAAAAAAAATGAGTAAAATTATAAAGTTCCAGTGACGTGCAAAGGTCTTTGTTTAAAAAGTTCTTCAGCCCGAGAAAACTCGTCAACTACATTTAAAAATCGTTGTAAAATAAAAAAATGTTTTAAAAATGAGCCAACGCCCTACCACCACAAACTACAAAATCTCAAAAAATTTCAGAGTCCCGAGGCCTGTGCGATGCAGCGCGCATAACAGCCCTCCAAGAGCAGACGGTCTCGGTGCTGTCGGACCGAGGAGCCGGCCGTGTAGGACACCTCCTCATGCTCCTACCTCCGGCGCGCGCTCTCTGCCGGCGAACCCTCCAAGAGCTTCTGTTCAAGCCGACGGTCGGCGACATTGGGGTCGAGAGACTGCTCGACGACATGCTCAGCGCCGTTCGGTCCAATTGATCTTTCCTATTCGTACGACTCGCCATGTTTCGATGTGAATGTACCGAGGCTTTGCTTCCCTTCTTTAATTTTTTTTTTTTTTTTTTTTTTTTTTTTTTTTTATGTAAATACAAAGAGTATCGCTGATTTGGTACTTTTGCGAGTTTTTTGGATGGTATATCGGGTTCGGGTGTTGTTTAAGTATCATCATCCACAGCATAGAGTACACGTGGTATCTTGTCCAAAATTATACGGTGAGATACATCATCTCCGTAGAAAATGTTTGCTCGTCAGAATGTTCCGTTCATGTTGTTATCGGATGCACAGGAAATCACGTTGTGTGTTGTTGTTGATTTACGTTTGGCTCGAATGAATTTTGGCCTGAATGATGTTTTGAATCGTACTTATATTTTTAAATTATTTTGGTCTTTCTTGGCATTTCAAAATTTTAAACTAAGCTTCTTAATTTTAACAAGTGTATTAAAAAATGTGCTTTGAATCTTTATCCAATTAGAGTTTAATGAAAACTATTTAATTTATTTGTACTCTGATCAAAACTTATTTTCATAATTTATTTTAAATATATTTCAATTGCAAGTATTATGTATCTTAGATTCCTGATATTACTACAATAATTTTTCTTACCACTGCTCAGGATTGCGGAAATTGTGATTAATCTATCATCCATTTCGTGAATTAAATATTGTGTGATTGTAAATTATGAAAGTGATAATTATTTTGTCTACTAAATAAATATGAATATACAATTTGTTATTGAAAAATTTAAGTTCTAGGAGAGTATGTAAATTTTTAATTTAATGTACAGCAATTTGTTATTGGTAATTATATAATTAAATCCCTCCAAATTTGTAACTTGTAATAAAAATGTTTTAATAACAATAATAATTGTGATTGAAATGAAATCACAAGCTCGATGATGATATTACAACGTTGCTACAGCTAGTGTATTGAAGTTAAAAAAATATACTTGATAAAAAGGTTAGTAAGTGTATTGTCGTGTATGGCAATGAATAAATGAGTAACACAAAGATATAAAGTAGATTCAGTACACAAGAATTCAATATTCACGGGCTGCATAAATTAATAATTTACCCTTGTTGGAGCACATAGAGATGTACTGTCGATAAGTATAATATGTGCATTCGTCGTTGTCATGAAAAATTAATGAAACATTTTTTATGATTTTACGTGGTAACTTATCAGGATTAGCAAGAAAAAAATTTTTTGTAAATATCTTTTGTAATAATTATTAATTTACTTCTTATCTGTATATGAGTATTAAAATAAATACATATAAGTATAACATGTCATGACAGACTAACTAATTTTTAGAATTGATCAAACCTATGCTCAAATCATATAAAAGAAACGTCTTGAATAATATTTACAAAAAAGCTACGCACCCTAACTTTTTATTTTTACTGCAAGAAGGATTAGGAAATTGTCAACATAAAAAAAACTCTTTTTTTTTTATTAACTAGAATAATTTATTTTTTGTAGAAAAAGGAGAATGTATCTTAACACGCGGACTGCACTGTACTTGTATACGTATGTATGAATAAACTCATATTTATAAATGTCGTACATATACAGGTACAGCAGCACACAATCCTTAATCGAATGTTATACATAAAACGTTACAAATCGATCAGCTTTCCCACAATAGTCCTTCGCGTGTGTGTGTTTTTTTGTTTTTTCTGCGCTATTTTTTAAAATAATTTTTCTTCTGCGTAAAGTAGGTACAATTTCCCAATCAACGCCACTACTCTTGTTCTCGTCAACTCGACCTTTACCATCATTTTTATTACTTTTCTATTGAGTATTTATTTATAAAAATAACTCACTATAAAATTAGTGTAAAAATTTTAAAAAAAGGCGAATGCTCTTTTACAAATTGAATAGTAATGGCAGTGTCATTGAGAAAATATACGTACAGACCTTGTGGTTCGGCATCATAATGCCCGGGTTATGTTTCGTTTGCTTCTTTTTCTTTTTTTACATCGTTTTTCTTCTTATTGTTTATCAATTCGTTTGGCAAATCGACGGTTGCTAGAACGTGGCTTGGAGGGAGAAAGCCAGAGCTTCGGAAAAGGAAAAGGAAGAAGGCTAAAATCATTCGAGGAATCAGTTTGTGAGTTTTTCTCTTAACGGCTCTCGCAGTTCTTCTTTGCGTTCGTTAAATTTTTTTTTTTTTTTCGTTCATTTCAACGTTGGTCGAATATTTGTCGTTCGCTCAACACCTTCGGAAGTCGGTGAAACACATCACTCGAAAGGCATCGATCGCAAGGGGCCTCGCAAGATAACGACGCTAGTACATCGCGTTAGCGCTAAATTAATGATACTACAATTGAATGAATCGTCAAATACAAACAATAAAAAAATATCATGTATAATAGTTGAAAATAGGCGCAAACGGTCCAAGTAAGGCGATCGATGAGCGACAAGCATTTGTTACGAAATAAAATTAATTTTTGTTTTTTCCTTTCAAAGGACGCTTTTACAATTTATCGGATCATTCGAGCCAACTGGATTTTTTGTTTGCCAAAAGCACCCTTCTCCTTCTTCCTCCTCGTCTTCATATATTTGCGCTTCCATAGACTTAAAATATTTTCACGCGACTGAACGATTTTTCTGTCTCTCTCTCTCTCTCTTTCTCTCTCTCTCTCTCTCTTTTCGATTTCCTATCAATTAGTGAAAACAAATACATCTTAAACAAAACCTGTTTCATTATTTCGTACTTCACTATTTCGCCGAACGCACACACAGAATTCGAACCAGAGTTTTTTCTTTTAAATCGATTCTCTCTCTTTCCTGTCTTCGGCCTTTGCCTCGACAAAATGTATACTCAGATGTTATAATTTCCTTTCCTATACGCAACATCGAATGGATTTCCTCTAAAGAAGAAAAAAATCGCGAGCTTATTATTTTTTCTACTTGTAATGAAGTAAGAAAAGAAAAATTGACGCTTGATTGACACTTCTCCTTGAAAAAAAAATTTTTTTTTTTTTAAGACGCGTTTACATCCAAATATAGGTATATGTTTTTTTTTTTAGATTTATAGTTATACAGAATTCATTTCAATTTTTCGGACGATTTGTTTTTCATCGAAAAAACTCTTATTTTTCCATTATAATTTATTTTGCCTTAATTTTTAGTGAGGAATTGTTACTCGCCTTTTTACGATTATTATTCAATCGCTCGTGTAATTTTTATCATCAATGCTTTAAAAATTCGAGTCACTCTCGCACTGTATTTTACAGTTAATTTCGTTAAATTTAAGCGCTAACTTTCTATGCATCTATACTACTAGTTGATAAAATAAAGAAAAGAAACATCTCAAGTATGTTTAAACACATCGTACGTCATTTGATTTTATTTTCTTCCTCGAAATAAAAGGTTTCAATATAAGCTAGTACGAAAGTTTTTATAAGCGCGAGAGCGACTTCCCTGTTATCTCTTCCTTTCTTATTATTATTTTTTTTTTTTTTCATTTTTTTTTTACTATAAGATCCTTGCATGCAAAAGAAAAGAAACAGACGCTTGCCAAATGTTGTTGTACCCAAAAGTTGGCGATTTTCCTTGCTTCTCACTTTCAATCTTGAGATGTATGAATCATAATTGAACGACTGCGTGTAATAAAAAATCAGAAATTACTAATAATGACACAAAACGCATTAACGGAAATTTCATTGAATATTATTTAACGCTAATTATTTCGGACAAAAACTAACAGATTTCTATGAAATTCATAACAAAACGACGACACGCGCGAATGCCCGCAAAGTACATTATCAGATGTTTACAATTTGTTAAGTACTTTTTCGAGTTTTCATACGGTCGAAGTATAACAGAGTTACCAGTTCTGATGCACATCCTCAACAATTTATTTTTTTTTGTGTTCTTATTTTTGGACACAGAATCCTGTTGAAAAATCGCAGATCATGCATTATTTACAAGCAGACACGTTTTCATTTTATTTCGCTTATTATTTTTTTTTTTCATAATACATACTACTTAAGGGAAGAATAAACAATTACTGCAAATTAATTAATTTATGGTTATTTACCAGTTTTCAACCCCTTTTCAAAGAGACGGAGACTCGGGTAAATTTTCATGTTTTTCGTAAAAAGGGTAAAAACAGCAACGTTTCGGTTACGCGGTATCGCAAGACTCCATTCGCCAAGAGAAACCTGTCGAAAGAAAAAGGGTCGCGCAATGTGTATCGAGAACACAGCCTCGTGTAACGCGTGGAGTCGAGGAGCGCCACGTAGGCACACACGTGTCCCCGGGGCGTGACGATCGTGCCCTGCCAAAGTCAACAAATCAGATTGCGCTCGACAGGCTGCCAAACTCGATCATCGGTCGGACTCGACACCGGCTCTATACGTACACCACCCGCGTAATGGCATCCCCCTTCCACCCCTATCGAAAATAAGTAGTTATCAACCAGAAGAGGCAAAGAGAAAAAAATGCATCTCGCGAAGGTACTCGTTATATTCGAATTCAGGGCACACCTCGTGTGTCGGAAGGACAAAAGCCAAGTTCCAAAACACGCGACCGCGTATCGGCACGACACGTGCANAACGATTATGTTGTTTTTTTTTTAAATTTTACCTTTGGAGCGTCCCGTAGGGATTCGGGAGTCGCGTCCCTGCTATCGACTATTACTTAGGTTTCAAGTTTTTCTTTATAATAAGATGCATGCAACTGAGTGCGTCTCGCTAACACATATCTTTTTTTGCTCACTTTATCTTATTTTTTTATCATTATTATCATATACGTAAAATAGTATTGGGAGGAGGCCAGCATTGTACAGCGGCTCTGCACGCAAATATCTTCTACTTTTTTTACGCTTTTTTTATTATTACTATTATTTGTAAGAACTCTTGTTTCTCATCAAAGTATAGACAAATATATTTATACGTTTTTCTCTATAACACTTATGTTTTTTCCTTACTTGTTTTCCCTCGATTAAAGTTTTAACTTTTCGAAGCATATAA